TAAACTCGAGTTAGATTTGTGTGTTGGTTTTTTCATGATGGAATTGTTTGTTTCTCAGCAGGCGGAACAGTCTTCAAAACCAACAAAAGCTAACAAACAACTGTAACAAACTTTAATGCTTGTCTAGTGTTGGTACAAACAACTGAGACAGAACAGTCACAATTCTTTAACTTATGCTTTGTTAAAACGTAACGCTTTCACGCTTTCAAAGTAAACCAAAACAACACGGGGTGACATACCCAAGAGTGTGGCAAAACGCTGCTCTGTGATCCGACGGATGACCCGTTGACAAAAAGTTCCAGTTCGTAAGCTGAAAGTGGTAAATGGGACAGTCTATTAAGCGATATTTCGCTCTATTAGAATCAAAAAGAGTTTATTCTTACTTCGTGAGTCAGTTCGTCTTTCTCTCAGCCGGCCCGTCAGTCCGTCCGTCCGACCTTCCTTATTCCTCTCCTCCCTCCCTACGTTACGGTGTAGTCTGTTTGTCAATCCCCTCCTCCTTCACTCGTCCATCCGGCCGTTCCCCAGTTTGTCTGTCTGTCTGTCTGTCTGTCTGTCTGTCCGTCCAACCTACCTTATTCCTCTCCTCCCTTTCTTCCTTCTTCCCTCCCTCCTTTACTCGTCTGTCAGTCGGTGTTTCAGTGAATCACTCAGTTAGTTACTCTGTCTGTCTGCCTATCTGTCCAACCTTCCTTGTTCTTCTCCTCCATCAGTCAGTCAGTCAGTCAGTCAGTCAGTCNCGGATGTAACCAGTTGTTTCGTCACCTCCAAAGCTTTTACTCTCGATAAAGTCTTAAATTTTAGAATAAGTTTCAAGAGAAACTGTCCGTAAAGTCGCGAAACGAGCAGCAAAGATGCTTTATTTTATAGGAGGACCAATTTTAATTGTTGATAATAAAGTGTGTCAATAAAAAGGATTCTTCACCTCTGTTACATTACCATACGTAATTACGGACAACATCCACGAACGCGAACTGAACTTTCTTTAGGCAGCGAGAGGCTGACGTGACATGACGTGACGTGTGACGTGACGTGGCGTAGTATTGCCATCGATCAGATTAGAACGAAAAAAAAAAGCGGTGTCATTTTACGCAGGTCTTGGTAGCAGAGACACTGAACCTTTGGACAAAACCTTCTGACCTAAATCGCCAAAGAAGGGAGAGCTACAATATAGAGCCGTTGACAGTGTTTTGTTTGTTTTGCTCAATGACAAAAGCGTGGGTTACATTTTCAGTAGTCCTGATTGGTGAAATCGGCTTTTGAACAAACTAGCCTTGCGCAGAGTTACCCGGACTTGAAGCTGTGTGAGAGAAAAACGTTGCCCGCTATTTCGTTCCACGGCCACTGAAATTCAACTCTAAAATGTTTGACGATTTCAAAGTTTAGATCAGCGCAAGTCTTGTTTTAGTACTGACCTGCAGATAGGCAAACTGCTGTAGATGTGATCCCTCCCCATCCCATCTCATTCCCGACATGGTGAGGCATGTGCAAGAGTAGGGAACGACTTGTCTACACCCAAACTATTGTTGGTTTTTTTTTTAACCTCGAATGTGCCCCAGTGGGAAATTGTCCCTCTTGTGTAGATATGTAGCTTGTAGTTAGACAGAAACCAGAGAATAGCAAGGTTCGGGTTTTCACTGGGTTGATCAAATATCTAACAGAAAAAAAAAATCTGCATACTTTATCAGTCACGTTCACAGATGATGAGGGCAAAGAGAATTGGTCCGCGCGGGGATATGGGGTTTTGTACCATGTCATAGAAGATACAGCCAATCAGAATACTGGAACGCCGTTGTATATTCGACGGTATCACATCCAACCTTCCCATCATGCGCTGCGCGTATTTCGCCTTCATTGTGTTGACCACTGTATTTTCCATGGCATGGATTAAAATAGTTCTGCAACGTTCTTTCGTGGTACACCATGCAATATCCCATTTGTCCCTTTGTATTTTCTTTGGATACAAATTCGCCGAAAGGCTCGTCTGTATACCGAGAAAATAAAGGTCACTCGTGGGATGTTCCATGTTATACCACAAGAAAAGCGTTGATTTAACATGTTCTCCAAATTTAAAACAGGTCGGTGATTTTGGACAAGATCCTTTGAAACAATTGTTCCCCGAAGAAGAAAATGTTAATGCAATATAAGAGATGGGAATAAAGAAGCACCCTGAACAATCCTAGTATAATGGACGCTCGTTATCTTTTCACAGCGATCACAAATTGCCGTTATTGCAGTTATCAGTGGTTTGAAACACAAACGAGGTTTAAGGGTCCATTCTTTCTTATTATATGTCTAGCTTCGTGAGCGGGCACGATGAACCAAATCCTGCACTGTGATTGGCTACCCGAGCGGGAAAGATGGCGCTATCTTGCCCGCTTGAGATAACTTGCTGCGTCCCATAAGAAAAGTTTGGTCTTTATTCCATATAATAGATTCTTAACTAACCAAGCTTCATTGGTCAAGATGGCTGGATATTGGCCAAATTATTCTTTTGGCGTGGTAAAAAACCTCGACTCCGTCTCGGTCCATAAACGTGCAAAAAGAAAAACTTTGCGAGTTTACAGCCATCTTGATCAATAACCCATATTTGCTTCCCTTTCGCCTCCCTTGGATTACGTTTTAAACAAAAAAAATCTATTTGACCGCTTTCCAAACTCCCTGGAATAACAGCGATTAAGCCCGTCCTTACAATATGGGAAGTGAGGATTAATTTGGGCGGCTTCACTCGCGAATGCTAGTATTTCTTCCTCTTCAGGGATCAGAGCACACGCCGGGAAGTCATTGGCCAGGATCTGGGCAGACGGTGGCGCCAGGCAATCCGGGATATCAAGACATGACCGCCCAATTTAGCGGGCTTAGTCTGTCGGGACAACAGGCCGCTTTAGACTCCACTGCCTATCACCATCAACAACAATACGCCGAGTCGGGCGTTCCAAGTTCAACTCGTACCACATCACCAATGTACGTGAGCAGTGTCACGCAAGCTGGCGTGACAGGTCAAATGCAATACGTTGTGTTACCGCATTCTGGCATGCAGTCTCAAGTGAGGCCATTGATTCAAGGCCAAACTTACGGCGGACAAGCGGCTCCTCAGGCCGCCTCCCCGCAGCAATACCAAGGTTACGTTGTGTCGCCAACTCAAACGCCTTACCAGCAATTCCCTTACGGTACCATACCCAAAGATGTCACATCCTCAGTCATTCAACAACACGCCCGCTCTCAAACACCACCCACCCCTCCTCAGACGGCGTCGCCTGCCCTTACGAACCAGTTTATGTCGCAGCAACAACATCCCCAGGCACAGCTGACATTTTCATCACAGATTCCTCAACAGTCGCCACAACAGACGCACACTACCCCATATCAGCAACAAGCCACCTCACCCCACACCCCACAACAGCTTCTGCGACCGATGGTACCAGTAGTCATTCAAGGAGGTCGAGGAGTTGCTATGGCAACTGCCGTTGGACAACAGGGTCCAGTCGGTACTCAGTTCCAACAACCTCCGGTACATGTACAGGCACAGTATCCGTCTAATCAGAGGAGAATATATAATATTGATAGACGCTTACCTAAGGCAGGGGACATTTACAGCTCGGACGCTGCTGTCATGCAGGGCTCCCATTCTTTGGTGTCCTACGGTGATGGCACCATACCGACTGGATACGACATTCAGGGAGAAAGGGGCCAGTACAACCAGTACCAATATCAAAGGTATGTTCTTAAATGAAGGTTGCCTGTCTGTCTGTCTGTCTGTCTGTCTGTCTGTCTGTCTCTCTGTCCTTTTATCTGCCCGCCTGCCTGCCTGTCTGCCTGCCTGTCTACCTGCCTCTCTGTTTGTCTACCTGCCTATCTGCCTGTCTGTCTGTCTGCCTGACTGCCTGTCTGCCTGTCTGCCTGCTTGTCTACAGCAGCACTTGGCATAGAGTTAAAAATCTCATTACCAGGTTTAGTCATGTAATTTAAATAACCCTGCTGGGAAATTTTCGTTTCAACTGATGACGTTTTACCTCAAATGATTAGTTCTTGTTTATACGACTCTTCTTGAGTTTGAATAACTTAACGATTGGTCAAGGCAAATCATTTTTGTTTAAACTAATCAGAAGCAGAAAACTCCTAATTCATTAATACTGGGGTAAGTACTTCAGTTCGTTGTCTTGTTTTTGCTGATACTCCTCGTCCTTAGCGCTTCTGGACGTAATAAACCACGCGATACAACGCAAAAAAACCCGCTTCAATTACTAAATATTGACACCACGTTTGTCATCTTTTTTTCTGTTTTAGGAGTCAACCATATTCTGGAAGTATATGACTTGCCCAAGGGAATGCAAAATTGTGAAACCGATGAATTATTTGAAGATCTGATCAAGGCTGGTGCCCGGATCAAATGGTTGAACAGTTCTGCGAGTGCCTCAAGAGAAAATCCGGTCCTCGCAATATTTTCTTCTGCGGTCGCAGCCGACCATGCTCTGAATTCAATGCAAAGCTCAAAGTTTAAACTTCGCCTTCATCAAAACACGAGCGCTTTTGCTCATGCGGACTCGAACGCTTCTATATCGTCCTCGTCATAGACGTTTTTACGTTCCGCTTTACCTGAAGACGTTATTTTTATTTTGTATTTGATTTTTTATATGAATTACGCGGCGGAAACTACGAGAATAAGTATCTTGTCATAATGTGCTTCAGCTGTGTTCAAATGTTGTTCTAGTTGTAAGAAATGGTATAAAATTAAAATCAAGTAATTAGAAAAATAAACCATCTAAACCAGTTATCTTTTCTGTTCAAATCTCAAGTAAGCTTTTGGGTAACTAGCTCGCGTGACTAAAGTGATTTGTTTTGCGTCACCCCAACACTTTCCTCGTTTATCATCACGCAACCCCGAATTTAGCTCATGCACCTCTGTTGGTTAACATATTTCACAGCGTCACGAGTATCCCTTCCATTGTGGCTAATATTTTGGACAAAGCAGCAACTTGTATGAAGAGTAGAGTCGTTTTCATACTTTCATTTGATAACTAAATTAATCGATTTCTAACCCCTACCCCACCCACAAAAAAAAGTTTTTGGATTTAGTCTGCTGCCTTAGCTTACGTTGAGGAAAAGAAAATCCCATGTGTTTCTTAAGTTAAAGGTATAGTTAAAAGTATAGGACAACGAGAAATCTTGAAGGCTTGCTGTTTACTCAAGCTGGGCTCTTGGCATTCATTCATTTTCGCAGCTATACACCTTGCCATTACCTCTAAAGCATATAACACAAGTTCGGTTAAACAGTTGATGCATGAGGAGCTCTAACAATACAACTCCACCTTGGAGACCCGGCGTTTACGTGGGATCAGGCGTTTGTAATTTTTTCTGGTTAATGACTGCGCTCGAAGGGAGGAATGAGATCAGGTCCGAGCGGGAACCGACCTAAGAGTCGACTGGACGCAAGTGGGTCGTCACGCAACGCATCAGTAGTATTGCGTGATGAGCCAAATAACGGCGCGGCTGCGAACTCAAGACAGCGGCGTCATGGCGGAAAGGAGATCTGGGAATGAGAATTAAGGAATATGACTGTTACACCACGTACAATTTAACTCGAGACAAGATGGCGGAACAAGAGGACGAGGTTGACGAGGAGTTTCTCAATGGTGCCTCACTGCTTGCGTCTGCCTTGAAGTCTCAAGGTGTGGAATACATGTTCGGAGTTGTGGGCATTCCAGTTATCGAGATCGCGGGGGCTGCACAGGCAGAAGGCATCAAATACATCGGTATGAGAAACGAGCAAGCGGTAAGGAACCCCGTCTCTAAGTTCAGTGCCCTACGGGTCATTTCATTCTTTTTAGTATCTTGTTAAATAGCTATAGTCAAATCTCTCCTTTCGGACAGCTCCATGATATGGACACGCCCAACAGAAACCAGGATTCCTGTAATCTCTTCCTCTGTAATAATTTTTTCTTTTATTGCCACCGAACTATAATAATTGTAATCCAGTATGGCAGTGCCCCTTTGGTGTTCGTATTAGAGAGGTTCGACTCTACATAGTAAGGATTCTGACCACGTTTTATGAAAAATTTAAATTTTACGTCCTTTATTAGATGTTTCCTGTTCAGCTGTTTTTGTGAAGGTGTGTACTTTCCACCCGTTACTTAGGATCAATTCTGTGTTAGGAGGAGGGATATCGGTCGGGCCAGGGTGTATTCTGCAAGACTTCCACCACCGTGTTGTGTTCTTGGGCCAGACACTTTACTCTCACAGTGCCTCTCTCCACCCAGGTGTATAAATGGATACCAGTGACCTATAAATGCTAGGGGTAACCCTGCAATGCAATGGACTAGCATCCCATCGGGGAGAATAAATACTCCTAGTCGCTTCATGCTACAGAAACTGGAATAAGCTCCAGCCTGATGGGTCCCTTGGCTGGTATGTAGTCGTTACCTTACCTTACCAGCAGCTATAAATGTGGACGCTGTTATACGCCAAAAAGTCCAATTGCACAGGCCGTGCTGAAGATTTTGGGCTTAACCTTCTCTGAATGCACCCTGGTGATTGGGTGGGTGGGAAAATAGAACTGAACACTCCTTTTCGGCATTTAGTCTCTTACTTAGGTTAATAACGTTAGATTTCTTTCAGAATGCTAGCCTCTTTGTGTCAACTTCTATGCGTCACATAACAATAATTGACATTTGTTTTATATATTCTGACAAATAGGCTGCAAAATAGGCAATCAGGTGGTATTCAGCAGCCAAAGGATGGGCCATTAGTAATAATACTGTAGTTATAGAGGCATGGGCTAAAACAAGGGAATTCCTGTAGAAAAGTAGACTGCGCATGCTATGTACATACCTGATAAATTAATTTTACAAGGCTGTTATCTCCCTGTCTTGTCTACAGGCTTGCTATGCAGCATCAGCTATTGGATATCTAACTGGGAGGTGAGATATTTTGTAGACTTAGTACTTTATTAATACTCTCTGGCAGTCTTGGACTGAGTTAATCAATGGGTCCAGTGTGTTCTCTTAGTAGAACTGTTTGTGTTTCAGTCCCTTTTCTTTTTTTAATTTCTTTTCTTTTCTCACAGCACCAGTTGCTGGCTTGTGATAGCTGCTTCATAACATGAGCAATAAAAGTAATGCTTTATTTATTGCTCGTGAGTTTTAAGTATTTATTATTTGCTTATTAGTCATCACATTTATTAATCTCCAAGTGGCCAGCCTTTCATCAACAACTTTCTTATTTGTTGCTCTGTTATATATTTCTATTTTTACCCTGATAATTAATTGTATTGATTTGTAAATCATTTTAATACTTATTACATCTCCTTTGAACAGTGTACAATGTAAAATGAACTTTTTGATTTTTGTTGCAGACCTGGTGTTTGCCTTGTGGTTTCTGGACCAGGATTAATACATGCCCTGGGTGGAATGGCAAATGCCATGAGTAACTGCTGGTTAGTGTGCAAAATATTATTCAGACTGTGCACTTTATATGGGACCTTGTACAAACTTGTCAGGAGACTGACAAGTTTGTCACTCGTGCCTAAGCCATGAGAGTTGGCAGGTAGATAATGGCGATTTATATTGTTGGTGTTTTGTCTTCAGGCCAGTTTTAGTGATTGGTGGTTCAAGTGATGTTGATCAAGAAAGCATGGGTGCTTTTCAGGAATTTCCACAGGTACAGAAGTATATTTAAATAAATATGATAATTATAATTATAGCTTGACTGTCATACGTGTAGGGAACATATATCTGGGTTAGATTTTCTGGAACATTTAATTCATGCTTAAGCGGTAATCCATGGATCAGTTTAGATGCATGCAGGAGGTTTCAAGAGCACAGAAGAAGTGCAAAAGTTGCTTGAGGCAGAGCCAGCATCAACTCTTTAGCTTCTTGAGTCCTCTCCAAATGTGGCATATCTTAATGTAACTGCATCACAACTTGATGATGACTATGGGGCCATTGCTATCTCTGGTTTCTATAGTGTGAGGCTACTAGGAATATTTCTACTCCCCTTCTGCATGAGATTCTAGATCATCACAGTGATTACATCCTAGCATTAAATTTGTCGGTACCCATTATCAATACACCTGGGACAAGAGAGGCTTTGCAAGAGTAAAGTGTCTTGCCTAAGAACACAGCACAACAACCCTTGCCTTTGGTTGAGTCTTAACCAGTTGATTCAGAGTCCACCATACTAATCATTAGGCCATCACAGTCCTCCCTCAAAAGTATCTACAAATATCTAATATCTACAACATAATTGTTATAAATTTGCTGCAAATTGTTCCAGGTTGAAGCAGCAAGACCTTATGCCAAGTATTCTGCAAGACCAAGCTGTGCAGGCGAGATACCATTCTTTGTTGAAAAGGTGAACGGTCATTGTGAATTGGAGCAGTAAATTATGAAAAATTAATTTGTTACCTTTCTTGTTTTATTCAGCGAATTGCATAGTACACATTAGAATGTTGCATTTTCTGAAAAGAAAAGTCCTTAATGAGGAGTCACTCTTGGGAACAATCAAATTAAACCTGATAATAGATTTCTACCTAATTTTCACTAGTTTCCTAGGCTGTGCGAACAACTATATACGGTAGACCAGGAGCTAGTTATCTGGACCTGCCAGGAAATATGATCACAGAGAAAGTGGCAGCCTGTAAGGCAAGGTGACTTATAAACTGTTAGAGTATAAAATGTGCACCAATTTTCTAACTTGTTAATTCTCAAGAGTGATCAACATCTAGTTTTTCCTTACAATATCAATTTGGTATCTGGCAGTAAGCTCATGAGAATATTACAGAAAATCATCAACTTGAGGATATCATCAAATTTCCAGAACTAGTGTCAAGTCAGGGATGTAACTACAGTGGAACCCCATTAATCCGGTCACCAACAGGCCACGAAAATATGGCCATATTAACAGGGTGGTTGTATTGAAGAGGTTCTTTGAAATTCAATAAGGAAATGACTGAGTGAGACTGAGCTTTTGTTTGGGCCAGAATAAAGTGGCTATAATAATTAGATAGCCATATTGACTGGGTGGCAGTAAAGCAGGTTCCACTGTATGAAAATTAGTGAGGGAAGTTTAATAGATACTTTCAGGTTTGAGTGACAGGGTATACTATTTTCTTCAAAGGTCAATTCGTCGTTCTCCAGCTCCTCCAAAGTGTCTTGCAGATCCATCTGCAGTGGAAAAAGCAATCAAGGTTCTTAGTGAAGCAAAGAAGCCTCTTGCAATAATTGGCAAAGGTAAATACACAAAAGATACAATGTAATTTCTGTTTAGAGGCATGGCAGCAGCTCATAAGTTAGATTTTACTGTGGTAGGGTCTTGACTGTGTTTCATGTTTTATTTTTTATACAGTTGATTTCATTTCTTTATACAGGTGCAGCTTATGCACATGCTGAGAAGCCTCTTCAGGAGTTTGTTCAGAGATGCAAGTTACCATTTCTCCCCACACCCATGGGGAAGGGAGTGATTTCTGATGAACATCCCCTGTGTGTTGCAGCAGCCAGATCAAAGTACATTTTATTAGTTCCTAGTGTCATACAAGCACAATGCGTGCACAACCACATACACTGTATCAAGGGGCTCTCTTCTTCCCAACCCTCCAACCCCCTCAAGTGAGAGAGGATTAGAACCCTCCTCCCTACCCTGTTAGAGACCCTAGGAACAAGGTTGAATGTACACATGCAAAGGTTACAGGTGTATACAGGCCATTGCATCCTTTGTGGTCTCTCCACAAATTGTGTCTTTCATGCTTCCATGTAGCTTCTCCCGAAATTTCCATACAGCTATTAATGTTGCCCACAGTCACCTGTACAGGATTGATATGATACAATACAACAACAGTGTAACCAAGCTCATATACATGTAAGGAGTGATATATTATTGAGCAATTGCTTAAGATTGTTGTTCATGAATTGTTTTGTTTGTTTGTTTTTGTTTGTTTTTTTCTTCTTTGTCAGAGCCTTGTCTCAAGCTGATGTGATATTTCTGTTTGGAGCAAGATTAAACTGGATTCTGCATTTTGGGAAACCTCCGAGGTTCAAAGCTGATGTTAAAATAATCCAGGTATTGGACATTTAGATTGTTCAAAGAAGACAGTTTTTCTAGTTAATTGATAAAGTGTTATCTCTCCTCTAGACTGAGATTAATTTCTGCATGACATATCAAATATTATATTCTCGATAGTACATTATAATTATTAAGTTAGCTTTAATATAAATTTAAGAGAAGTTCAAGTTTAGTGTATAAACATGTAAAAACAGTTGAAGTCTGGTAATTGTAAATTAATATCTAAATTACTAGTGAATTTTTTTGTTACCCATAGATTGATCTTCATGCAGAGGAAATGGAAAACAATGTTTCTGCAGAGGTTGCACTTTTAGGAGATTTGAAGAGTGTAGCAGAACAGGTACATTGTCACTGCCTTGTGCCTCTCTCTACCCAGGTGTATAAATGGCTACCAGTGAATTTAATGCTGGGGGTAACCCTGCAATGGACTAGCATCCCATCAAGGGGGGAGTAGCAAAATTCCTAGTCACTTCATGCTATAGGAACCGAGATAAGCT